CGACGCGCACGCGCTCCGCGGGGCCGACCGCCATGTCCGGCACGCGCGCCTGCCACGCGTACGTCGCGCGTGCGTCCGACAGCTGCAGCGCGCTGCCGATCGCGCGCGCCATCGCATGGAAGAGGGGCGTCGCGCTCGCGAACGACGCGAGGAACACGTCGCACGCGTCGAGGAACACGGCCTCCTGCACCGCCGGGCTCGCGAGCACGCTCGACACGTCCATCGCCTCGATGCGCTCGCACCACTGCATGAGCTCGCGCAGCGTCGGCCGGCGCACCGAGCTCGGCGCGTCGCGCGCAGCGCGCACGGCGTCCGCCCACGCCTGCACGAGGCACGCGCGCTCGTCGTCCGGCAGCGACGCGACGCGCGGGAAGCGGCCGCACACGATCGCCTGCACGTCGTCCGCGTGCGGGGCGGGGAGCGCCACTTCGCCCCAGTGCTCGCTCGAGAGGAACTGCGCGCGCGGCGCGTCGGCCCGCACGGTGCGCGTCGCCAGCAGCGCAAAGCCGCGCGCCGCGACGACGCGCCCATGCGCGCCGAGGTCGAGCGTCGGGCGCGCGCCGACCGGCTTCGTCGGCCCGAGCGCCTCGGCGAGCGGCGCAATGACGCTCAGCACGTCGCTCGACGCCTTGTCAATGTCCTCGAGCACGACCCAGAGGCCCGCGCGCACCGCGCGCGTCAGCGCGCCCTCGACGAACGAAAACGTCCCGGGGCGCTCGCGGCTCGAGACGTACGAGCCGAGCAGCGCCTTGGCGTCGACGCCCGACTGGTCGCCGAGCGGGATCGACAGGCACGGCGGCAGGCCGTCGCTGCGCGCCGCGCACCGGTGCGCGAGCGCCTGCAGCAGGTGCGTCTTGCCGCTCGCCGGCGGGCCACGCACCACGAGCGGGAGCCGCAGCGACACGTGCAGAAGCGTGTCGCGCACGGCCGCCTCGGTGCTGTGCGTCGACACGAACGGCGTCGGCGGCGCGCCGCCGACGCCGCGCGCCGCGGGCCACAGGAGCGAGCCAATGAGCGCGGTGCTCGGCGACAGGTCCGCCGCCGACACGTACAGCGGCGCGGGCGTCGGCGGCAGCGGCGCCGCGCACGCGTGCCACAGGCGGTCGATGCGCGCCTGCTCGAAGATGGGCGCCGCGCGCACGTCCATACTCGTGCCGTCGACATCGAGCGGCGCGGGCGCGTCGCCGATCCACGCGTCGCGCAGCGCAGCGTGCGCGGCCGCGGAGAGCTGCGCCTGCACCGCATAGCACTCGAGCGCGAGCAGGCGCTCGGTCGTCGGGCGCGCGCGGTCGGCAAACACGCAGTACAGCGGCGCGGCGGGCCACCCCAGGTCGTGCGCGAGGAGCGGCGCCGCGCGCAGGAGGCGCAGGCGCGTCCAGAGGTGCGCCACGTCGGTCGGCAGGCCGCGCGCATAGTGGCGCTGCAGGTGCGCCTCGATCAGCGGGTACGCCTCCTCAAACACGCCCGCCCACGCGCCCAGCGTATGCACGGCGCCCGCGTCGTCCAGCAGGCGCGCGAGCAGCTCCAGGAAAAAGGCGCGGAAGGCCACGGCGACGGCCTCCGCCACCGCCGGCGGCGCGCGCAGGAGCGGCGCGGCCGCCGCGAAAATCGTGGGAATATGGGAGACTGTGCCATCGGCACAGGCCCGCAGCACGGGCGCGGCCGCATGCGCGGCCGCGCCACACGCCGCGGCACAGGCCCGCACGTCCACGGGCATCGTAGGACGAGAAGCGCCAAAAAAATGGACGCACGTGATATCTCCACGCTCACTCCTTGGGCGCCGCCCGCGATGAACGCGTACCCGGTGGACCTGGTCGTGGAGCTGCAGCCGTGCGTGCACGCGAGTGGCCTGCTGCCGGACGATGCGGCGCCGCCTGGGCTCGCGCATCCGCCGACGGAGCACCCGGCGCTGTGTGCGGCGCTCGCGGAGGCGCTCGCGCCGCGCACGAGGGCGGCGCTGT